GATAGACAGGTTGTTATATAGATAGGTAGGTTTAGATAGATAGATAGATAGGTTGTTAGATGGGTAGGTGGATAGATAGATAGGTTGTTATATAGGTAGGTAGGTGAATAGATAGACAGGTTGTTATATAGGCAGGTAGGTGAATAGATAGACAGGTTGTTATATAGATAGGTAGGTTTTAGTTAGATAGATAGGTTGTTAGATGGTAGGTGGAGAGATAGATAGGTTGTTATATAGGTAGTAGGTAGAATAGATAGATAGGTTGTTATATAGGCAGGTAGGTGAATAGATAGACAGGTTGTTATATAGATAGGTAGGTTTTTAGATAGATAGATAGATAGGTTGTTAGATGGGTAGGTGGAGAGATAGATAGGTTGTTATATAGGTAGGTAGGTGAATAGATAGACAGGTTGTTATATAGATAGGTAGGTTGTTAGATGATAGGTAGGTTGTTAGATGGGGTAGGTGGATAGATAGATAGGTTGTTTATATAGGTAAGTAGGTGATAGTTGTTATAATATAGGTAGGTTGTTAGATGGGTAGATAGATAGATATTGTTATTAGGTAGGTAGGGTTGTTAGATAGTAGGTAGGTTGTTAGATGAGGTGGATAGATAGATGGGTTGTTATATAGGTAGGTAGGTTGTTAGATAGACAGGTAGGTGAATAGATAGATAGGTTGTTATATAGATAGGTAGGTTTTAGATATAGATTGGTAGGTTTGTTAGATGGTAAGTGGTAGATAGATAGGTTGTTATATAGACAGGTAGGTGAATAGATAGACAGGTTGTTATATAGATAGGTTGTTAGATAGATAGGTAGGTTGTTAATGGGTAGGTGGATAGATAGATAGGTTGTTATATAGGTAGGTAGGTTGTTAGATAGGTATAGGGTAGGTTGTTAGAATGGGTAGGTGGATAGATAGATAGGTTGTTATATAGGCAGGTAGGTGAATAGATAGATTGTTATATAGATAGGTAGGTTGTTAGATAGATAGATAGATAGGTTGTTAGATGGGTAGGTGGAGAGATAGATAGGTTGTTTATATAGGTAAGTAGGTGAATAGATAGATAGGTTGTTATATAGGTAGGTAGGCTGTTAGATAGATAGATAGGTTGTTAGATGGTAGGTGGAGAGATAGATAGGTTGTTATATAGGTAAGTAGGTGATAGATAGATAGGTGTTATATAGGTAGGTAGGCTGTTAGATAGATAGATAGGTAGGTTGTTAGAGAATAGATAGATGGGTTGTTATATAGGTAGGTAGGTGATAGATAGATAGATAGGTAGGTTGTTAGATAGATAGATAGGTATAGATAGATAGATAGGTAGGTTGTTATATAGACAGGTAGGTGGATAGATAGATAGGTTGTTATATAGGTAGGTAGGTTGTTAGATAGATAGATAGGTTGTTAGATAGATAGGGTAGAGATAGAGGTTGTTAGATGGGTAGGTGGATAGATAGATAGGATATAGACAGTAGGTGATAGATATATGTTGTTATATAGGTAGGTAGGTTGTTAGATAGATAGATAGAGATAGATAGATAGGTAGGTTGTAGATGGGTAGGTGGATAGATAGATAGGTTGTTATATATAGGCAACTAGTAGATGAGAGATAGAGAGAGAGGTAGAGAGAGAGAGAGAGAGAGAGAGAGAGAGAGAGAGAGAGAGAGAGAGAGAGAGAGAGAGAGAGAGAGAGAGAGAGAGAGAGACAGACAAGCAGTCGGAGATACAAAAACAGATTCAGAGAGCCAGAAAGCCAGAAATAAAGGAGACAGACAGACATCTAGAAAAAGGAGATATAAAAACGATAAAGGAAATCTCAAACGTTTAAACGAAAACTTAGCAAGCTTTCATTTTTATTCCCCATCCCCCCACCCTAAAATATTGCCTTCCATAAACTCCCCTAAAACAAGAACCAAAAGTACTCTCTCGACCAAACAATATCAACAAACACTAATAACGGACATCTTGAGCTCATGAGACTCCCATTAGCGACGCGCCACCCAATCCTACGGGGAAAATAGTCGTCACGGGTGCCTAGTCCCGGTGAAAATTAAGCCATCCGTTCCATTAATGTTCTTTTAGCAGGAATTTCAACAGTTCTTTGGCGGGAATTTCAACGATTCATTTGTTCATTCCCGGTGAAAATTAAGCCATCCGTCCCATTAATGTTCTTTTGGCGGGAATTCAAGAATATCAACGATTCCTTTGCTTAGTCCCGGTGAAAATTTAGCCATCCGTCCCATCAATATTGCATTTTGGCGGGAATTTCAACGATTCATTTGTTCAGTCCCGGTGAAAATTAAGCCATCCGTCCCATTAATGTTCTTTTGGCGGGAATTTCAACGATTCATTTGTTCATTCCCGGTGAAAATTAAGCCATCCATTCCATTAATAATGTCTTTAGGGGGGAATTTCAACGATTCATTTACTGAGTCCCGGTGAAAATGAAGCCATCCGTCCCATTAATGTTCTTTTGGCGGGAATTTCAAGAATTTCAACGATTCATTTGCTGAGTCCCGGTGAAAATTAAGCCATCCGTCCCATTAATGTTCTTTTGGCGGGAATTTCAACGATTCATTTGCTGAGTCCGGTGAAAATTAAGCCATCCGTTCCTTTCACATTGTCGTTTGGCGGGAATTTCAACGATTCATTTGCTGAGTCCGGTGAAAATGATCCATCCGTCCCATTAATGTTCTTTTAGCAGGAATTTCAACAGTTCATTTGCTCAGTCCCGGTGAAAATTAAGCCATCCGTTTCATTAATGTGCTTTTGGCGGGAATTTCAACGATTCATTTGTTTTTCCACTCCTTGGCGGCGACGATCAGCTGGCGGAAGGTAATCAGTCTGGCCGCTTCCTACGAGACAGGAAGTTGGGGAATAATGTCGGGGAGGAGGAAGAGGAAGAAGGCGATAAAAAGGTAGAAGAAAACGGGAGAAGGGGAGAAGATAAGAGGATAGGGGAGAGGAGGTAGATGGGGAGGGGATAGAAAAGGTGAGAGAGAATAAATGTTGATAATGATGGGGATGATGATGTTGATGGGGATGATGATGATGATAGTGATGGAGATGATGATGATGGTGGTGGGCCCTTCTTCCTTCCTCCTAAACCCCCTTTTATCACTTCCCAGGCTCCCCTTCCCTCTCCTACTCCACTCCATCTCTCTTCCTAAATCCTTTTTTCTTCCTCCTCACCATCCCTTCCTCCTTTTCTCCTCCTTTCTTCCCCGTATCTTCTCTTCCTTCCCTCCCCTTCCCCTTCCTCTCCTTTCTTTCTTCCCTCTCACTTTTCCTTTAAAATTCCACCCTCCTCTCTCTTCCTCACCCCTTCCTTCTTTCCCTCCCCCCTACCCCCTCCCCTCCCCCTCCCCTCCCTCCCCCTCCTCCTTCCTTCCCCTCCCTCCCCCATCTCCCTCCCCTCCCCCTCCTCTTTCCCTCCCTCCCCATCTCCCTCCCCTCCCCCTCCCCTCTATCTCCCCTATCTCCCTCCCCCTCCCCCTCCCTTCCCCCCTCCCCCTCCCCTCCTTCCCTCCCCTCCCCGACGCCGGCGACGCCATCCCGAGTGCGCACGGAGGCATATCTGAAGCTTATTATTATCTGCTTGATGGGCGGACTTGCATGTTATATCGTAATGAGATGTTAACGGGACCAGCGCGTCGGGGGTGGGCGAGGGGTGGGCGTCGGGGGTGTCGGGGGGGTGGGCGTCGGGGTGGGCAAGGGGTGGGCGTCGGGGGTGGGCGAAGGGGGTGGGCGTCGGGGTGGGCGTCGGGGTGGGGCGGTGGGCGTCGGGGTGGGCGTCGGGGTGGGCGTGGGGTGGGCGAAGGGGGTGGCGTCGGGGGTGGGCGAAGGGCGGGGGTGGCGAAGGGGGTGGGCGTCGGGGGTGGGCGTCGGGGTGGGCGAAGGGGGTGGGCGTCGGGGGTGGGCGTCGAGGGTGGGCGAAGGGGGTGGGCGGGGGGTGGGCGTCGGGGGTGGGCGTCGGGGGGTGGGCGTCGGGGGTGGGCGAAGGGGGTGGGCGGGGGTGAGGCGTCGGGGTGGGCGTCGGGGTGGGCGTCGGGGGTGGGGCGTGGGCGAAGGGTGGGCGTCGGGGATGGGCGAAGGGGGTGGGCGTCGGGGTGGGCGAAGGGGGTGGGCGTCGGGGTGGGCGTCGAGGATGGGCGTCGGGGGTGGGCGTCGGGGATGGGCGTCGGGGGTGGGCGTCGGGGATGGGCGTCGGGGGTGGGCGTCGGCTCTGTCACGGCACTGCGGGCGTTGCGGCTGTAGCGGGCGTGCGGGCGGGGCAGTACGGATACTGCTTTGCCACGCACGTCAACAGATCGCGGGGCGGTTTATGTAAATGGTCGCTTTCGGTAATTTGGAAATTGGTTCTGGTCTGGTTTTCAAGCTCTTCAATGGAGGGAGACAAGGCCACTGTACAGTAATTTAGAAGAAAATTATCATGAGTCAATTAGCGTATACATATCTATACATATGTGTGTACACAAACAGAAAAGTAAATGTAATTGGGGATTCTCGAGGACTGTTGTTCATGTCATCTTAATGGTATGATATTCCGGTCTCTGTACATATCTATACATATGTGTGTACACACACAACACACACACAGACAGACACACACACACACACACACACACACACACACACACACACACACACACACACACACACACCACACACAATATATATATATATATATATATATATATATATATATATATATATATATATATATAAATATATAATATATATATATATATATATATATATATATATATATATATATATATATATACACACATATGCCTGTGTGTATTGATAAGAATTATTATACAGTAGTATTCGCAAATGCACAGTAGAGTGACACTCCATTTATAAAGTTTTAAGGCGTTTAGTGGGTCTTAATTCTTTGCACGATTCTTATTATGTAGAGGATCACACCAGTGCTTTTAGATTTTAAGATAGAGTCCAGAAAGAGAGTGCATTCGTGAGACATTTTTCGAATGCTTGACCTTCTGCAGCGACCTGCCCTGCGTGTGACGTCATCCTCACGTCCTGTCGTTCCCCCAGGGTCCCCGAGCTCCTCTCCAGACGACGCCGACGACGAGGGGGGTTCCGGCCCCCCGCCGCTCAAGAAGCAGCGCAAAGCCCGCACCGCCTTCACAGACAACCAGCTGCAGACGCTGGAGAAGAGCTTCGAGCGGCAGAAGTACCTGAGCGTGCAGGACCGCATGGAGCTGGCGGCCAAGCTCAACCTCACCGACACGCAGGTCAAGACGTGGTACCAGAACAGAAGGTCAGTGTGGCACTCCGGGCCTATATGCTGTCTTGGCTCCTGATTGGTTTTCTTCTTCTTCGTCTATTTTATGCAGAAGGGATATTTCATCCTCAATCACTATTCATATATTTTTGTCAACTATATGTTTTTCGTCAGCCTGTGGGAGGGGGCGGGGGTCGCTATCTTGGCTCCTGTTTATTCCCTTTTCTTCTTCTTCTTCTCCTATTTATTAAGAAGGAATATTTCCTCCTCAATCACCATATATATATCTTTTATCACCTATATGTTTTCGTAAGCCTGTTGGGCTTGGGGTGGGGGTGGCGGGGAAGGTGCACGATAACCGAACAGAATCCGTTATTAGCATCGTTGTTCCCACACTGACTGCTCAGATATGTTAAAAGATGCGCAGTCAGAGTTGCAAAGCCGCTTCACCCTTGCATGTATGTTTGAATATCTTTATCTATTTTCTTTAAATTTTCAATCTCTTCATTCATGATTTTCTACCCGGTTTAGTTTCGCTATCGTAATTTTTTTTCAGACTACGAATCATAACATCCTATATAAAAAATGTCTCGCTGTCTGACACCATCCAGTCATTATCATAATACCGTCATGCTGTGTCATTTTACCCAATCCACTTTAAGCCAAAAAAAAAAAAAAAAAAAAAAAAAAAAGAAAAGAAGAAGAAAATGAAGATGAATAAGAAAAAGAAAAAGAAAAGAAAGAAGAAAAGAAAAGAAGAAAAAGAAGAAGAAAAAAGAAGAAAAAAGAGAGAAGAAGAAGAAAAGAAGAAAAAGAAGAAAAAAAAAGAAGAAGAAGAAGAAGAAGAAAAGAAAAAAAGAGAGAAGAAGAAAAAGAAGAAGAAAAGAAGAATAAGAAAATAAGAAGAAAACAAGAAGAAAAGAAGAAGAAGAAAATGAAGATGAATAAGAAAAAGAAAAAGAAAAAAGAAGAAAGAAAAGAAGAAGAAGAGAGGAGAAGAAAAAAAAAGAAGAAGAAAGAAGAAACGAAGAAGAAAAAAAGTAGAATGAAGAGAAGAAGAAGAAGAAGAAGAGAAAAAAAAACAACAGCTAGTCTCCATCAGGCTTAAGATATTCCTCGGCCTCGTCACTCCGCTGCCTGACGCCTCAAACCTGAAGATTACCATGACTACCGGTTGGAGCAGTAATTGCACGACATATCGATCAATTACGATAACAGTCTCTCCGCCGTACGACAATCCTTTCCTGGCCGCGCCCACGACGATACATACGAGATCGTTGGCGGAGTCACGGTGGGCGTCGCATAATATACGCCCCCAATTGGCCACTTCGCTGGAGATTCTGGCTTCCTTGCGTCACTTGAATATTAAGTCGGTTGATGTTGATATTAGACGGATTTCGTGTCGGAAGGAAAGGATTACAGTTACGTGTGTCTTAAAGAAGGTCTTGGACAAAATTACTTTTTTTGAAAAGAAATATCTGTGAATTATCATTATTAGAAAAAAAAAGAAAAAATGAGAAAAAGCAAAAAAGAAAAAGGAAAAAAAGAAAAAGAAAGAAAAGAAAAGAAGAAAAAGAAGAAAGAAAGAAAAAAATCGGTCGCGCTGCATTCGATCTCTTAAGCATTAATCCCCGAGAAAGATCTCATCTCGAATACCTGATATCAAGAGAAGCTTTTCCCCGATTTGATTCCCCGTTGCAAATCTGCCGCGCCGATTTCTGCGCTCACGGCAAAAACGCATCATAGTCGGCAATCAGCATAAATCGGGGCGGGAGGCTTTTGGGCGTTAATGGGACATGTCTTTGAGTGAGCATGAGGACATGACGCCATCTTGGTAATTGCGTGAAACCCGATACTTTCCAGAGCCGGATCTTAATCTTAAGAGTCATCTCGATGTCACACTTATTTTTCTTTCTTTTGTTTTTGTTCTGAGGGACCGGCTTGCTCGAAGCGGGGCGGATTTTAGGAATCATGCACTCACACGCACACTCACACGCACGCATGTAAACTTGTCTGTCTATCTGTTTATCTATATCTATCTAGCTGGCTATCTACCTATCTACCTACCTATATATTTATGCATGTATATACATACATACATGCATACATACATACAAACATACAAACATACATACATAGATGAATACATACATACACACATACTACGTACATATATATATATATATATATATATATATATATATATATATATATATATATATATATATATATATATATATATATATATATATATATATATATATATATATATATATATATATATATATATATATACATACATATACATATATATATGGATAGATAGATAAACATATACATAGATAGAAAGGTAGAAAGAGAGAGAGAGAGAGAGAGAGAGAGAGAGAGAGAGAGAGAGAGAGAGAGAGAGAGAGAGAGAGAGAGAGAGAGAGAGAGAGAGAAGAAGTAGAAAGAGAGAAAAGATAGGGAGATAGACAAATGGACAGATTCATACATACATACATGCGTGCATGCATACATGTATACATACATCAATACATTCACACAAACATGTATACATACATGCAGAGATACATAAATACATAAAAAGATTGATAGATTGACAGACACATAGTTAGAAATAGGAAGATAAACGAGTAAATAGTAAGAATAGTCAACAAATAGATATATCGGTAGATAGACAGACAGATAAATAAAGAAAAAAAGATAGAAAGAGCGATACTGCCTGTCAAAAGAAGAAGAAGAAGAAGAAGAAGAAGATAGATAGATAGATAGATAGATAGATAGATAGATAGATAGATAGATAGATAGAGAGAGAGAGAGAGAGAGAGAATAAGAGAGAGAGAGAGAGACAGAGAGACAGAGAGAGAAATAAAGAGAGAGAGAGAAAGAGAGAGACTGAGACAGACAGAGACAGAGAGAGAAAGACAGAGAGAGAGAGAGAGAGAGAGAGAGAGAGAGAGAGAGAGAGAGAGAGAGAGAGAGAGAGAGAGAGAGAGAGAGAGAGAGAGAGAGAGAGAGACAGAGAGAGAAATAAAGAGAGAGAGAGAGAGAGAGAGAAATAGGGTGGGGCTGCATAAATGTATCAAAACTGCGCACATATCTCTCGAATCGACGTGCGGGAGTACTGCGCAGGGTTCACAGACACCGCAGCGCACAACCCATCGAGCAACGGCGCATACACGGTCTTGGTAAACGTGGTCCCTCCCATACATTACGGACCACGAGCGCCCCTCTTCCATGTTAGCAATGGTATCTGCACAGGAGGGTCAATAACCTATCGTTTCCCTTTTCCTTGTTATTTATTTATTTTTTTTTCTTTTCTTTTCTTTTTACTCTTTCTTCCTTCTTTCTTGAACTGCCTCTGTTGACTATCTCTTCTTGTCTGCTTTTTCCTTTTCTCAGCTGAGTCTTGTCTCGCATTTTTTTTTTTTTCTTTTCTCCTCACTCACTCTTTCCCTTTTCCTTCATCCCTTCCTTCCCTTCCATCCTTTACTTAGTCCGTCCTTTTCCCCATTCCTCCATTTCCCTCCATCTCTCCCTCCCTCACTTCCTCCTCCTTTCTCCATCCTTCCATTTCCTCCTCCCTCCCTGATTCCTCCCTTCATCCCTCCCTCCCTTCCTTCTCTCTCCCACCTTCCCTCCCTTCCTTCTCCCTTCCACCCTCCCTCCCTTCCTTCTCTTTCCACCTTCCTCCCCTCCCTCCCTCCCTTCCTTCTCTCTTTCACCCTCCTTCCTTCCCTCCTCCCTCCCTCCCTTCTTCAACCCACTAGGCACGTGGAGAAACACCCTTCACAAAACTCGATGGAGAATAATGGCATATAATCACCGCGCTCCGTCTCCCGCCCACCTGCGATGTATGGGAACGTCGGCCATTTAATTAAGACGTGGGTGACTTACCCCTTTCCTCATCCCGCGTGTGCAGTGGCGCGGGCATGATGGCCCTTAAAGACGGATATTAGACCGCGAGTTTCGTCCTTTTAAACAGGGCTAATCGGCTTGGACCGGCCTCGGATTTTTTACGTAATGGCTCCGGTGGGTAAATGGTTCGGTCTCTGCCATACGCGAACGAAGGCGGGTCGAAAGCGGCGTTTGTTGGCGGTGGAAAACGGCGACGTATGAGAACGGACTTTCTCCCGCGGGAAAGGCGAGATCAGGAGCAACTCGAGGAGGTGTCATGGCGACTGTTTTGATGATGATCGTTCGATGGAAATATAACCATTAAAATAATTATTTTCCATCCTTTTTTGAAAATTGGAAAGACCAAAATTATCGATCATATTCACAAAGCATCCGTAACTTTTGTGACGTCATCAAAATAAACCCCACGTGCTGCTTCTTGTTTTCCCACAAAATAGAATCAGACGCCGTGACGCCTCCTCGAGTTGCTACTGACCTAGCCATCCCCTCCTCCCGCTTTCGGTGAGTGAGAAGACGTTGCTTTTGAATGAGTGAGAAGACGTCGCTTTTGCATGAATGAGAAGACGTCGCCATTGCAGTGGCAGCGTCTCGGTTGGCGGACGAGCTCGAGGGACGCGCGGGGGGAGGAGTCAGAAGGAAAGAGGTTCGTAATTAAGTAATTAATTTGTAATTAATAGGTAATTAAGATTTAAGGATTAAATAGGTTAAGGATCGGGCGAAGAAAAGGGACTTGGACTTGCATTGCACTGATAGAGATACAAGCAAGTAGATAGATAGAAAGGAAGATAGAACGATAGATTGATGGATAGATAGGTAGACAGACAGATAGATAGATAGATAGATAGATAGATAGATAGATAGATAGATAGATAGATGGATAGACAGATAGATAGATAGATAAAAAGATAGATCGATCGATCGATCAATAGATAGATAGAAAGATAGATAGATAGATAGATAAACAGACAGATTGATTAATAGCTTGATAGATATATAAATAGATAAGCAGACTGACTGATTAGATAAGTGATTGATTGATATGTAATTAGAGAGAGAGAGAGAGAGAGAAAGAGAGAGAGAGAGAGAGAGAGAGAGAGAGAGAGAGAGAGAGAGAG